AGGTATATTATTCTCCTTACCTGGTCTATAAGTAATTTCATGATTATAGTTCCACAGTTCCATTCTCCATCTCTGGATCTTATCGTTTTTAATTTTTTTTTTGTTTTTAATTTTTTGAAACTGCCTGTTGGTCCATAACAATGGTAAAATGTCAACCAGGTAAATAGTGAGAGCACCTTTTTAAAGCTTTTATAATAAGTCTCCTTTTCTACTGAAGCGTACTTTCAATCAGTTGGTGTTGGTGATCATGAGAAGAAAGCCACTGGATGGCTGGCCTGATTCAAAGCAGCAGCAATTGCTGTATCCTAGGGGAATGTTTTCTTCAATAATGTGAACTAAGGCACTTTCGATTTCTTTAAGTTTTTGGAAGGCTTCCATGAACTTGCAATTTTAAGGGAACAAGTCAGCCATAATTAAAGGTTTGATCTTATCCGAAAACTTTGATATCCATTGGGAATAAGAAAACAAACTGAGGACATGGTGAAGTGCAGCTTTATCTTTAGGGATAAGTAATTTGCTAAGTGGGTGTAGTCGGTCAGCATCATTTAAGTATCCCATGAGATATGGTGTAGAAAATTAATAGAAATGGTTGATAGGAGGACTTTTTTTGTTGAAAGTAAGATTATGTAGCTTGGCCACCTCAAGAAATTTTTATCATGCTCCTCCTGAGTTCTGCCAGCCACAACTATGTTATCTACATAAGCATATTCCATGCAAGTTATTCCTTGTAATAATATTGTCCAATATACATTGGAAGCAAGATACCCTGTTAGTGATCCCAAATACGACAAAACTGGTATAATTTGCTATGAGCTTTGAACTTTGTGTACTGTTTGTCTTCTCCTAAGATGTGTACTTGGTGATATGCGCTCTTCAAATCCAAAAAAGAATAAATTTTATATAAGTACCTCTATGAGATCACTAAAAAGAGCATAGCATGATGAAAAGGATGCCAAACTTTACGAAAACAAAACTTTATTGTCTAAATGTTTGTTATTATTAAAAAGAAAGATCAAAGTAATTTTGGGGTATTTTTTTTAATCATTCCTAGCATGTCCAAAAATTTCGTTAAAAATCTTTCTTTTTTTTTTTTTTTTTTTAATCAGAAAAATTGACAGATAATCAATCATGTAAACCATTTTTTTCCATTTTATAAAAAGAATGAAAATCTCAGTTTGAAATTCTTTTAAAAATCAATTATAATTTTTTCAAAACTTATTTTAAGAAAATCAGAAATTATAATGTTTATTTAAAATATTTTGAAACAATATTCACTTAGTTTCTGCGCCAAAAAGATGTAGTTTGAAAATAAAACAAAGCAGGTCATAACATTTCGCATCACTTGACAGGTGACGAAAGAAATTTTCATGACGTATTGATAGCTTACGTGAGGATAATTTATTCTACGGAAGAAGAGAAGTAAAATTACTTAGATTTAAGTGAACAAATTATTTACCTCATTATTTTTAAGGAAAACTTTCAGCGCTCTTTTTTTTCTTTTTTTTTTTTTGTACTTAGCTTTTACCTTTACGTTTACAATACTTTATGGAAAATATATTATAAAGAAATTAAAATAAAACTGTTGAGAGTGAGATTAAATTTCATAAAATTGAAATAAGACAACTCACTGAAAACTGTAAAACAACTTCACAAAATTTAAATTGCAATGAAATATGTAAATGAAATAAATGGTACTTTTAAAAATGTAGTAATGTTTCTGCAGAAAATGGCTTAGGATGATGTTCAAATTTTTTTAATTAGTAAAAACACTAATTCAAAATGCTCAACATGTGTTTTGCACAAAGAATTTGCAATAAAGAAATGGACGTTCAGCAGAGAACACTTACACTCAAGCCACGTGATATTTTATTGCTTGTGACCTTCCATACTTTTTAATTACAGCCATTTTATGAACACAAAATTACATTTCTTAATTACTGCGGGTCTTCTGATTGTAAATTGTATCACTTCGTCCAAAGCGCTAAAAAATGATCTACCTCATAAGGACATTTACAAAAGTGCAGCTTTCAACTAATTTTATAATATTTTAACAACTTAAATGTAAAAATCTAAAATAATTAAAGAAATAACAAATAATTGTATTAAAAATTCATTTTTCATTGGAAAAAATTTTTGCTTTCAGAAAATATTGTCCATATTCATAAAAACAACTAAAAGCGAATAAAAGCATTTGAAATTAAATAATATTTTTGTTTCATTGAGTTTTGTATGATACAATTCAGGGCTAATTTTCAGGTAGAGGGGCTCCAATTAAAAAAAAAAAAAAAACATGATTTGCTTTCCTCAAAGCCTTGTGCTTTTGACTAATATAATCATTAAACTGAATGCAACTTCATAAAATTATTTATGGTAGGGTGTAATAAATATAAAAAAAAAATGTTTCTGCCATGACTTTAATAAAATAAAAAAACATAATAATTTCCATGATCTGTGAATAGTTTCTGAAAGTTTCATTAACGTCCGGCAATTTTTTTTTTTTTTTTTTTTTTTTGCAAGATTTTCCAAATTAATGTCTGTCATACAAAAAAAAATGTGCTAAAAATTGTATATGTTATTTTACTGGTTCCGGTCATACAAAGACAAACAAGGTTTTTTTTTAATCAAAATTTAAAATGTTCTAAAAAGGAAAAAATTTTAAAAATAATTAAAAAAAACAAAAAAACTTTAGTCTTTCCTCTTAATAATAACATAAGCATTTAGACGATAAAATTTTGTTTTAGTCAAGTTTGGCATCTTTTTCATCATGCTATGCTCTTTTTTTAGTGATCTCATGGAGGTACCTAATTTTATATATAGAGATTCCTGAAGACAGATCATCCATTCATGGTAGGGTGTAAGTGTCAAGTCGAGTGAATCTATTAATAGTTCTACTATAATCCACAACTGATCTCTTTTTATGCCATTTGTTATCAACAATTAAAATTTGAACTTGCCAAGGAGACGGGCTTTCTTCAATTATTCCATCTTTTAGCATTTTATTAACCTCAGTTTTAATAAAGTGTGATTAACACTATTAAAACTCCAAGTAATTCCAAATTGTCTAGATTTCACAGAAATAGGTTTGTAGTTAGTATTGAGATTTCAAAAATAATGAAGGTATATCTACCAGCACAGATGGCAGGTTACAAGCAGTTAAACTCAAAATAGATAGCCTTTTCTTAGGACCACCAAATGCAAAAGATACATTAGAATGTTGGTTCATGAAGTCTTGTCTGAGAATTACATCACTACAAAGATAGGAAAGGACACAAAGTGTAACATTCAAATACCACTCACCTAATAAATTTAAATTGATGATACACTGCCCTTTTATTGAAGCGTTAAAGGATGACAAAGCCATGGGCACATTCCAGACTGCAGGTTTTATTTTTATCTGGTGTCTTTTCACATAGTTGAGTAAAATAAAGGATCCATAGTTACCAGTGTCCATTAGAGCTGTAGCCACGTTTTTGCCAATCAATACGTACACCATAGCCTGTTTTAATAAACTAGGTAGTGTAGTGGTTGCCAATGTATAAGATCGAGTAAGCAAGATGGCCACAGTACCAACTGACCAACGTACTTTGGAAAAGTGCCCCTTTTTTTCTGCACTTCTGACACATAGCCTCTCTGACTGGGCACACTTTACGATTGTGACGTAATCCACCACAAAAATAACATTTTATACTTAAGGCATACACGTCACGACAAATGAATCTTTGTATTCTGATGTTATGGCTCCTGCAGTTGATGAGAGTGGATGTGAATATGATTCAGAGTTTTTCTGTGCTAGGTATAGAGCTCCAGTTTGAATAATCATTGTGTGTAGATCAAGGGTTTTGTTCTCTAAAAGACACTGTTGAAATGAAATTAAAGCACAAGCCAGTAATGAACATATTTTTAATGCAGTCATCTCAGTTTTGAGCAGTTTTAACTGCTTTCTTTAGCTAGTAGTTGTAAACCCTGAACATACTTATCAATATCTTCGTCATCTCTTTGTTTACATATTGCTAGAACATTTCTGGTGAATATTTCCTTTGTGGGTTTCATGTATAATTCTTTGAGGTGATTTACAGAAGATTCGGAAGTAGCATACTCAGCAATATGGAAATGCTATCAAGATATCCAATTTGTCTTGTTCATTATGTACAGTATCATCTGTAGTTTTATGTAGGAATGGAATGAAGGTCCACTATCAGTGATTGAAGATTTTAGTTGCAGAGGGTGAGTTAGATATGTTTAATCTCTCTAGTTTCAAAAGTTTGTCCATCCTTCAATCCACTCTGTTTATTAAATTGTAATAAGGAACAGAACCAAAGACTTGATGAAGGCTTTAACAGAGTGGCCCACAATGGGGATAAGATCAAATAAAATAGGATATATATATAAAGTACAACAAAAGGTGGATAATTCTGAAAGAGTCCAAATCAAGGGAAGTTCATGCTTATGACAAACATTATATTTAGTGGATAAATGTGTTTGAGTACATATTCTTGTTTTTAAAACCAGTAAAATTTGTGTCTACCAACCTGTGTATTTGAGAATCAATAAATAAAATGTGACTTCTGGCAGGGTTTGAGCACATATCCCTCCTCTTATAGGGAAAATACCATCAGACCCAGAAAGATTTCACAGCCAAGCAAAGTACAGTTACCCTATTTAAGAAATGCACATTTATGGTTGGGACCCCTTGATTTGTTAAGTTTGTTTCCATATTAGATACACAAAATAATGTAATTTCTAAGGAATTTATAATTCAACATTATCTCTTATTTAAACATCATATTTAGTGGATACATTTGAGTCTTAATAAAGAAAATGTACCTTCTAGCCAGGTTTGAACCTGTTTACCCCCCTTAGAAGAGAAGTCACCGTCAGGCCCAGTGTTCTTTGCCACAGAAATATATAGCCATTTTGAGCTTGCTTTGCCCAAATATCCTCCTGAAAAAAAGGGATCTGGCTCACTTCCAGAAAAGTTTGACCTTTTAGCTTACAGTCAAATCACACTGGTTCCTGTTTGAGCACCGTAGTTAAGCAGCATCGAGCCTGATCAGTACTTAGATGGGGGTCCACTTGGCAACACTGAGTACTGTAAACAACCTTCTACAATCGGCAATGTTTTGGTTTTAAACCCACAAAGGGTTGATAAGCCAAAAAAACAAACAAATCAATCCATCTTGAACCATTCAGGGTTTTTTTGTTTTTTTTTCAAATGAAAATTAAAAATGATACAGTACTTTTACTTTGCCTTTTGACTTGTTTTTGCTTTGAGAAAAAAAAAAAAGGTAAATATAGGATAAAATTTTTTGAATGCTTTTATACTTAGGATCCTAACACTGAAATTTCTTGAAAGACTTGGAGAATTTGACACTCACAGGATTATTGAAGGCAGAAGGAACAGGGGAAACAGTTGACAACTTCCCTAATGAGCTTGTATGAATGAATGGTAAAACAAGGCAAGATAGGCTTAGTGAAGGGACAAGCATTGTTATCTTCAACAACATTTCTAATGTCATAAGTTCCAACTGGGTATTTATGCTGATGACATAACTATTTACTCCTGTCTTAGTAGCAAGTTTGACAAGTCCAACAAAGTAAAACTGGCAACTGCTCTCTCAAAGGACCTCCAATCAGTGGTTAACTGGTGCAAGGAATGGCTTGTACATTTTAATACCTCCAAATCAAAATTACTTTCATAGAGAACCTTTTCTGTCTGCTATCAGCATAGCACTTTCTTGGGCTCATGTTTTCCACTGGTATGAAGTGGAGTGATTTATATTGAATCAATTGCTAGGTCTGGTGCTCTTACTATATATCTATAATTATGTATAGGGAAATTTATTATTATTCTCGTCATCATTATTATTATAGTAATAGTATACCAATCAGTCTGATGAGGGTATACCAGATACATGCATCACAGCCAAATGTGAACAATATAATGGCAGCTTTTGATAAAAGCAGCACATGATCTTGCAGGTGGGGCCCAGTCAGAAATAGCTTCAGGCTGCGTAACCCAGTCCACCCAAACAGTCTCCAAAAAATGGTGTTCCCAATTATCTAAATGTGACTTCCAAGTCACCTTGACTACCAAATCTTCAAAAGAAAAAAAAAAAAAAACACAGCTTTCTTGCCCCTCCCCCCCACTCCCACTGCTCCCACTCATGAAATGAGATGGCCACTGTGGCAGCCCCTAGGAGACATGTCCAATTGGTTAAGATTAGCCAACTGACAAGTAAATCTGTGGTACATATTTACTGTATCCCATCTTGATCCATGTTAACACTTTCAATCAATTAAAAAAACATTAAATTGAAAGCCTTGCATGCTGTAGTGTCAAGGAATACTTATCATTATGGAAGAGCAGCACTCCAATAGTGATACGGAAATAGAAATATACAAGTTCAATATGTCCATCATGGTATGCCATCTGATACTAAGTACATACCAAGCACATTCATCATCATCATCATTTCTTAATGACTGTCAATTTACTCTTCTTCTATAACTGTCAATTGGGAAACAGAAACTGTAGAAAAAAATCAAATGGAGAAGAGCAGTTCACAAAAAACAAGATTGTTCAAAAACACTAGAAAGCAAAGAGAAGAAATGAAGAGAACCCAAAGAAAAGCCAGAGCTCTCCCATCCCCTGAACCCTACCATGCAGTAACTGTGGACATCTCTTCAGATCCAACATAGAACTCATTTCATACAGAAGGAAATATCGATGAGCACCCCAATACTCAGCAACAAGTCCCCCGCCCAGAATAATAATAATAATAATTCTCTCTATATTTGTTCTTTTAATGAATGTTTAGCATCAGTGTCAGTATGGGGAGATGATGTGGAACTGCCCATTAACTATTTACATGTGTCAGCTGACAAACCAATGTACTGAATAGAAACGGAGTGGAGGGTTTACTATGAATAGGTGGAATCCTCCACCTACAGGTTTATGAGTTAAAGCAGACCAGAATATTTGTTTTGGTGAGAAGGGATCTTTCCAAAGGGAAGCATGATATTTGAACTTGCTGCTGTCTGAAAGAGTCAGTGAAACAGGTGTTAAAACATGAGCTTGATCTTTATGCTTTCCTTAATAGTTAGTTATCATCAGACTGAAATAGTTGTGAACAGTTTCAGTGGTGGGTGGCAAGAGATCCAAGCTTTAAATAACATCAGTGCCTCTTATTCAGGCAAGCATGTACCATTATTTTTGTGCCCAAATAAGAAATCTCACACATTTCTATAGAAAATATCTACAATTTTATGCACAGCTCCATACTATTTGCTTCATGCATATATTAATATAGATAAAATGTAATTAATTCTATATTCATTAAGATTTTTTATCTCTAGTAGTTTGGAGATTTAGTTCCATTTTTTTCATTATTTAATATCATTATTTAATATACAAAGCATAAAAATGAATATACAGCATACACTGCTGTTGTCAAATCAGTCTTTAATATCATTTTCTCTCTTTTTCATTTTGTTCTACAATGCAAAGTCAGAACTCGTGATTAGATTTTTTTTTTTTTATGAGGTAAAATTAAATTCTATATTTTCATGACTTACATTTAAGTCTAATATAAGTTCAAACCATTTAGAAAAGAAAAAAGTTCAGCCTATTTATATATTCTATTCATAAATAGTGGGCTTTTTAGTTGAAGGTAAGAAATACATGAATGGATCCATAAGCCCATAACCTGAAATGGTTATTGGCTGAATTTTGACCTGAAATTTTCAGTGTATAATGTTTGAGCTATATGATTAATGGCAAAGTGTTAAGTACATTGACAAGAAAGGTGATTATGTTGAAAAATAATTATTTGCTGCATGAAATGTTTTTTCCATCATTAGGCAGTACCTAAAACAAAATTATCTTAACTAGTAGTACCCATGAAAATTCATGGTTTTTGGTATTCATATTTTCTGATGAATCATAATTCTTAAATTAATAATTGAATAGGTGACTTGAGAATTCTATGACTATAAAATACCCATGAAAATTCCCTTATTGCATCATTGAATATTTAAGCTTAATAACTTTAGCCAAATATTGCAATTACAATAAGTATAAATGCAAGTCATTAATTAAAGACGTAAGCAGGTACAGTTAAAAAGATTTGAAATTAACAAGATTTTTTATTTCACTGAAGCAGACATTAAATACATGATTGTTATTAACTCCTCTATCTTTTCTCTCTTTTTTTTTTTTTTTTTTTTTTTTCTTCATTCTTTTTCTCACTGAAATCAAACAGCATCTCTGTCTTTTTGGTCTTTCTTTGCAATCAAAACAGAACAGACCATTAGTAGGTATTGGTGAGGCACAGTGGAGTAATGGATAGCGACTCAGATTGAGGAATCGGAGAGCCGAGTTTGAATTCCAGTCGAATCCATTACATTCACTAACATGCTAATACCCTTGTGAAATGTATGAATCCTCTTCTTCTCCCCCCAGCTATGGGTAAATAGCAGGACAGACCAGGTTCTATAGCCTTGGATAGAAACTGGTCTACTACAGAAAGAAATGGCAATCTACTGCAGGGAAAAAAATCTGCCTCATCAGTCATGTATCGAAAGATAGCTGATCACCTAAGCGTGTATCATGCATGGCGTATAACTGAGGACATAATGTACATGCGAATTAAGGAATGCAAGAAATAGCAGAATTGTGAACTGTTGAATGATTGAAATAACTTTTAGACAATCAAATATTCAAATAAAATTATATGTCAGACAAATATTTTCTTTTTATTGCCATATACTTGAGTTAATATTAACTTATTCTCTCTTTTCTCATTACTATGCATATTTCTGACATGGAGCCTTTAGCTATATACAAGCATGGCTCCTAGATGAGTCATCATAACTTGCTTCTGTAGGTTCATTAGTAGCAGTTAATCAACAGAATTGTAAGTTAATTATCTAGCAGTGAAGTGCTTTGTAATTGTTGCAATATTGTTATATTTCTGTTAGTTATGTCAATATGCTTATGAAAAATAAATCACTGCCAAACTTTTTATCTTCTATGAAGTTCTTACATTTTATTTTTATGTTAATTCAAAAAGAAATTATGCTTGGCTTGAAATTATTGGCTTGTTATTGAGCAAAGAAAGAAAAAATATTTTCTGGAAATTTTGTTGTAACAAAAATGAATATGTGAGTCTGAATAATTTTATGTATGTGAATAAGTGATTATTTTTTTTTTTATTCAAAGAATTGTTCAGACAATTTAATTTTTAATTTCAGCTAAAATGGGTGGGGAAGCACAAGAACAAAACCCCACGTATCACTACCAACCTTCTCCCACATTGTTCAGAAAAGAAACAGCCTTGAGATTCATTTATTTCTCTCCTCTCTTCTCACACCTCCACTTGTTCTGTTATGAATGTTAGAAACAAGGAAGGAAGGAAAGGAAAAGGATGGGACAATAAGAACCAATTCTACAGAGATTAGAGGACTTTGAAAATAAAATATGATCTAAAATTTAGTTTAAGCTCCAATGACCTTGTATCAAATATAATAGCAATATATTCACTGTAAAATATACTAGTTTCATGCACCATTTTTTTTATTTTATTTTCGAAGGCATTGTATATCCTGATTTAATTGATTTAGAATTTTTAGAACATTGTGAAAGTAGTATCCAACAGTGTTGACAGTATTTATATATGTCCTTCACAAAATTTTAACAATCAAACCAAGCTGTCAAAATGTATTCCTTTTTTAAAAATTTATTCCATTTTTGTAATAAAATAAAAGAAATAAAATTAAATTAAAACAGTTAAGGATTAATTTTAAAATATTTAACCATGAAGAAGAATTGAATTATTGTACTTAATTCAGCATTGTTCTTAACTAAGGTTCACCCTTTACAAGACCAGGTTGGGGGGGGGCACTCGAGGTAGAGGGTTACATTATGGGGTAGTTTATATGGACAGGAGGGGAAGATAATGGTTATCTCTAGACTTGAACAGGTTAAGATTGTAGTGATCAAGGAAACACCTTTGTGGGAGTCAGTTCACAGGAAGAAGGTGTTTGAGTAGAACTTCTCGCTGATGGAATGCGGGTGATTTGCTACTATGTAAGTGG